AACTTGATTACACCTGCACAGAGCATTTCCATACTGACAGTATGTCTGTATTCAAGTGTTTTGGTAGGGATTTCAAGCTTTCCTGCTCCAGCATTGGAATGCGGGGCTATGGTACGTTTTTTTTTTATTTTGAAAATCAACAGTTTGCATTATGCAATTAAAAATCCTAACCAATAAAGTAGGGAATAGCTATCCAACTGTTGTTTTAGTTGTATTTTACTTCATATTATAGTTATATCAATGTAAATCATTGTTTTCCCTTGTGTTTCTCATTCTTTCCCTGCCATGTCGTAAAATGTGGTGAACCCATCGCTGTATTTGCTCCAAAGCAAATATTGGCCTTTCTAGTTGGTGTGTAGTTTGGCATGTCGTCTGCTAAGATGATTGTTTTTTTTATACCGCAGCAGTTTTATAGGGTAAATAATCAGAAAACATCGATATCCTAATTTGAGGGAGTTGGGGAACAGATCATTAATTAAGTTGGCTTTTGTTTTGTGGGCGTGTTTTCTCCAAGCAGAATTTACTTGTTTTATCCAATATGTTGAGACTGAGAGTGCCACAGAACATTATGAGTAATTATTTTCTCACACAGCGTTGTACAAGAGTTCATGTGATGAGTATTACCAAATGGGTGAGCGACGAACGGGAGTGTGGAAGATAGATGTTGATGGTAGGGGACCACTGCCGCCATCTTACGTGCACTGCACGATGGAGACAACGGAGGATGGAACTCAAGCAGGTAAGAATGGTATAACAGAAAAGAAAAAAAAATGAAAATAAGAGAACAAGAATTCGGAGACCTCAGACATCCATGCATTTAGACCAGGAAGTCTTTCTTAGAAACAACGCAATAGAAACAACGCCAGTTACCAGCTGTCAAAGAGGTCATGTAAAAACAATACCTCAATTTTTTAAGGTAAAAACTACAAATTGAGCTTTCATCAGTCTACCAAGGCCCTTTGAAACAGGACCTCAGTCTGTCCAGATTTAGGCCTGACTGATAATACGTATTGGCTCGAATTTGAGTCGAATTTCACTGCCAACCACGTCTTGACTTACTTACAAACACCAGCCGAACCTCCTGTCCACGCACGAACATTCCAAATATTTTGAAACACTCGGCTGGTGCAGCCAACCAGTAGCCGAACTGGCCGAACAGCAGTCGACCTTGCTCCCGACCTACTCCTAACCATGGGAAATGTTGAAGCTGATTTTCGTACTGACCACACTCTATATATTCGTGTACATTTCAGGGACCACTACTATCAGCCATAACCTGGCTCCTGAGACTGTGGTTCGCCGATCAGGTCTGACAGACACCCTGCTGCACGTGTCGTACCGGGACATGGACCAGTACGGACAGACGTTACTCCACCTGCTCCGGATGTCTCAGTCCTGCCAGCAGTGGGTGGAGTATCAGTGCAGAGCCGCCCCACTCAGGTATAAACCACGTCAGTAGAACACATGCCTAGAAAACTACTGTAACAACCATTCGGAGACCTCAGACCTCCATGAAATATATAAATCTTTCGTGATGATGACTGTGTCCTCTTCTCATTCACCGTGGCGTCTATGCCAGTACTGTATATACAAGTTTCTCTTTATCATGCAAGGGAAACAACACCAGCTGTCAAGGAGGTCATGTAACAAAAACACCTGTAAAATATTGAGCACTACCAGATGTAGAAGTGATTCATGACTTTCTCCCTCTGGGACAGACTGAATCCAACCATATCCATTACTAGCTGGCGGAAAGGGCAATGCGGAAACACACACAGACAAACGGACACGCAGGTTCCATGTGCGGAACAATGGCATCATTTGCCGCCTTACATTATAGTGTCCAAAAACACAATAACCTTCTTCACTACCACAATTTCCCAACATACAAATTTGCTTATCGTTCGTTCTTCTCTCCAGATTAGGGGTAAGCACGTGGTTCTACGGCGCCGAAGAGATTCAATACAGCACCATCGGCCATCCGGTGAACTCATCCGCCACAGATGGGAAATGCAGTTGTTGGTACAGCAACACATGTGCAGAGGAGAACTTGGGTTGCAACTGTGACAAAGTACGTAATCTCACATTTGCAATGGGTTTAGGAATGTACATAGTTTCTGCACTTGACTACCACGTAGTTCGTAACCGTAACGTACCAAGTTATGGCCAACCAATATTCTCTAAACTTCATATCTAAGGAATGTGTTTGAATTTGTGAGATACAATAATGAAACAATAGAGAGAAACACAAAGAGGAATCATTGTCATTGATCGATATGTCTTCGTCCCACAGGGAGATGAAACATGGCGGACAGACTCGGGCTACATCCGGGACACTGCCCACCTGCCAATCACAGACGCCGTACTTCTGCAGGCGGGAAACACGGACAGAACGGAAGGACGTCTGTCACTCGGTCCTCTACAGTGTACGGGAACAAGTGAGGAAAAGTTACATCTGTTACGTGCTTGTAAACACACTGGGTTTTGCATTCACCGATTTTCTATTCCAGGATGCATAGCGCTATGGGGTAAAAATTCCCATTTTGACATTCGTCAATGACAGAAGCTAAAATAATGAAGGTTGTATGTTATACTTGTATAATGCAATTTTTGACCTTCGCTATCAGCCAGGTTGCCTGAAGGTCAGAGTAATATTTACAAACTACAACATTTTGAGCTATAATCATACTTTTATCTCATTTTCTATTGAAAGACGGTATAACCACGGCAGAGAGTAATTGTTACACACGTTCCATGTTTCCTAGAAAAACAAAAGAATGTCACTCTCTACTTGTCAGATTTGACCTGTAGTGTTGAAAACAAAATGCTCCAAATGCCTATCAAAACACAGAACAATAAAGTCAACGGTTTGACGTAAATCGATTCCCTGGCGCTATGCATCCTGAGAATGGGGAAAATGTGAATGCATCTGTCACTCTTTCACGTTAAGTACTTACATGCCTCTCGCGCGTTCCAATATATTGTCAAAGCTGGCTTGAAGAAGATGCACAGTGATGATGTACAATGTAAGATTGATTTGCTAGTTGTGAATCACTTCTCGACAGGTTTTATGAAGCATGACTATAGTTCGTCACGGTAATTCATTTGGTACATCATGCATCAAATACCCGGAAGGAACAAGCCATACAGGAAAGCTTCAATCAGTCACAACCGTATCTGGAATCTAATAAAGCAAAGATAACCGTGATTCTATTTTACGTGGGTAATGCGGCGTGTACTGATAGATGATGGCAGAAGTTAAACGTAGGGTTTGCACTGAAGGCTGTGCATAAAAAGCACCCAATACAATTTCATTCATTTACTGCATTTTCTTTGCACATTTCGTCATAATTTCATACTTGAATCAATTCAAATAGCCCAGAAACAAGCTACGCACGTGAGGTGTGTCTTTTTTTTCTGCGGACACACCCATAAATAGCTAGAACCAGCCTAAGGTACAAAACAAGCAACCGTTTTCTTACAACAACATTACATTTTGCCTTACAGATATCAGTATGCTATGGAATAGATTTGAGTCAACTTACAACAGTAAAAGAATGACCAGAAAATTGACCAGTTTTGTCGCCCAGAAATTGCATTTGATGCCATTAAGTTGGGAATTGCTTGGGCGCATTGTGCACGTTTAAGATTGGGTGCAGTGTATAGTTTAATATTGACGTGAAATTGGTATCATTGTCATTCCATTTTTCTCTGTCCAATATATTTTTAAGTATCTGTAAAGTCTGGTCTGACGAAGGTCACGTGTCTGTAACTGTAATTATCGCGAGATCACGTTTCGAAGTGATTGGTCATTCATTATCCTGATGAAGGCGACAAAGGTCGTTGAAAATTTGATCTCTGTGAAACCTTTTGTTGGAATAAAGTTAAAAATTTTACTATTATACATAATTACATATATATTGTTTTCTGCACTAGAAACAGACGACCCTTCCTACGGGGTCACATTTACCCGGGAGTCTTCGTACATCGTGGTGGATCCCGGGTGGAGGGAGGGAGATCTGACGTTTAGCTTCATCACTTACAACACCAGCTGTATCCTGCTGTACCAACAGCCCAGCGCCACCAACCCAAACTATCTTCTTATCTACATGATGAACGGTGAGCTTAGCTTTAGGACTGAGATCTACGTTTAGGTCATGATTAAAGCAGACGTATAAACTACAGTGATATCTTACTAAAACTGTTATTTGACATATTTGTATCGCATGAGCTAAATCATACCCTTTAACCATTCTTCTGGTCGTAATTTTCAACAGTGTACGTAATAGTATGTGCAATTATTGTGTTCTATGGATTCTTCCTAATGTATCTGTATTTTAACTTCATTATGTGCAATTGTATAAACTTTTGGATTTTTAAAATGAAGTGTACATTGATTCACAATTCAGTAACTGGTACTCAAAGTTTACTGTGAATGATCAATAAATAATTCTTGAGTCTTGAAACTGTACAGACTAATGTGAACTACTAGGTACAGGTTCAATGAGGTATTCTGAGCTGTAGATGTATTAACATATGGAGCTTTTAATACATGGTTTGTCTAGTTTCATAAGGAATCCTAATTTTTCTGTTCTATCTAAATGTTTTCATCTGGGAAAAGTATATTGTATATAAGAATAGATGGTATTATTTCTCTCATTTCTATATAATGTAATCTCCAAGCAGATCTTTTGGTGGCTGCAAAGCCAGAATCAAATTGGCCAGCCGTATCATATCGTTACCATTTTGCCACGTACCATTTTACCATTTGGGTGTCGAAATGGTAACTGCCTGGCAAATGGATACAGCCTGGCCAATTGATATTGTCTCTGCAGCCACCGAAAGATCTGCTTGGAGATTATACATAATGCACAGTAAACATCATCCTCAATTTTATCTGAATTACATATTTCGTGACATATCTTCGACTATCGTATGTCTATATGGTTTTAAAACATTTATAAGATAATTTGCTAGATGACGGCACAGGAATTTTTGTACTTTGGCTTTTAATTCTGTTTATTATACTGCGACAATTCAATGAAGACTTATTTTATTTTGTAAATTTACATCTAGGCCTATTGCAATGTTATTTTCTGTGCAGGTCGAAGTGTAGTGTTTCTTTTCCGAGTGGGCGACATCTTTGAGAACATCACGATGACGTCAGACCGTCTGCTGAGTAGTGGGGAAGTGCAGACTATATCTATAGAGTTTGAGGAGCTTCAGGTAAGGGGTATTATTAATTTATCCATTGCAGGTTTAGGGCTTGGAAACCCGATTTTTCAAAGGCAATATTCTAGTCAGTTATCTACAAACTGAGTTGAAACATTATCCCCATATATATTGACCCTCATGGATCATGGAGCAAACATTCCCAAAATTCTAACAAAGATTGCCAGTTGTGCTGCCCTGAAATCGAATCGGATGTCTTGAAAAGCATCCAATGCAACCGATGACATCACATTTTTTGCCTCACAGATATCAGCATGCTATGGGATAGGGTTACTTCAACTTACTGCATTGAAAGAATTAGGACCTGAAAATTCATTCAATTTAAAAAAAATCCAATTTTGACGTCCTGAAATTGCATTGGATGCCTTTAAGCTGAGTTCCAGTTTTGTCGTCTTCGCAGCCTTTCGCTTGCGTTGCTGCATCCATTCGGTCAACTGTACTTTCTAACCTGTTATGGAAGGAGATCCGTCGTAACTGCTATGGTGGTCGTAATAATGGTGGTCATCAAAAGATTGCGTAATAAAGGTATCCCCTTAATGTGAGTCTTATTTTTTCTTTGCTGCAACATCGTCGTTACAATATCATATATATCTTACGTTACGACAGGTTCGCTTTACGGTCAACATGGGCTCTAAAATCTACGACATCGACAGGTTGGAATCCTTCGACGGCTTTGCTGGTCCGTTGGTGTTGGGGGCGCTGCCAAAGTGAGTAGCACCATTAAGCAAATGTCACACATTCAGGGATTTGGCCTCCAGAAGACTAGCCGAACGCCCCAAACCAGGCCTATGGTTAGGAGTAGGTCGGGAGCAAGGTCGGTTGGTGTTCGGCCAGGTTGGCTACTGTTCGACTGCGCCAGCCGAATGTTTCAAAATGTTGAATGGTTGGCTGATGTTCGGCTATAAGTCATCAGAACACCAGCCAAACACCTAGGAGCAAGTCACCAGTTCTCATGGTGTGTTCGGAGTCAAATTTACCTCAAATTTGTCTCTATTAGTGTGTAAAGGTAGGTACGGCCTAAATCTGGTCAGACTGCTCATGAACTTTAGCCGGTTGCTGTTCTGGGGAAGGTTCTGAATGTGTGACGCGGGTTTAAGTTGAATGCCATCGCCTTGTTAAGGCAAGGACGCGAAGCAACAGAGGTGCGAGCTTCCACATAAATTTACAATGTTTCCCTGAAAAGGTCGTGGCTTGGTTTTTCAAGGACGTGATTTTGTGTAGGATAAACGACTTACCCTTGCGCGGGAGGCTACGCCAGACCATGACCCTGCGTTCGCGGTGTAACACATAAAAACCGCCATGAATATGACATTATAATCTCGCCGTGTGTTCGTTACTCCGTGAAGGGGGGTATCCCTCCTGCAGGAGTATTGTGGTCAGATAGTTTTACATGTTCGCAGGTAAAACTCACGGTTGCCTTTGTTTCATTGGCATATAATTTAATACGTCGTCTGCAGGCATGCCCGTGATGATGCCCGTATTTTTTTATTTTTACCGTAGCTGTTTTTGTGATTAATGTATATTTCCGAAGCACCCCTACATTTGATAGACTTTTGGAACTGGCCGAACATAAACTGTTGTTAATGCAAACGCTGATTTCCTAAGCCGCAACAGTAATCGCCCGATCAGGATGGACTCCGACATTTCAACAAATATTGCATTGATGTAAACGTGTGGGTGAGTGTGAATGCGTTGACACATGAGGGAATATATTCACCACCATGCTGACTCATCTTCAATCTAGCTCGATGTCAGTAGTCCACCTGGAGGCACGGACGGGGATGGTGGGCTGCGTCACGGTCTTCAAGGTCAATGGTAACCCTATTGACCTTCGGCAGTACGTCGGTGACCCTCGGCTTCGGGATAGCAGGTATGGATCAGCCCACGGTTTAGCCGCGGGGACACCGATATGAGATAATCAGTAAAGACAAGCTATAGAATATCGGTGAGATGATTTAGCGTCCAACAAAACGTTGTCTAGTACAATGCAACACAAAGGATACACAGGAATCAAATGTTCAACGACAACTGTCGCCATCATCAGGATAATTAATGACCAATCACTTCAGAACGTAAACCCATCAAGTTACGATTATAGGCACGTGGGAACCCCAAAACTGATGCGAGCGTGCAAATAGAAGTTTGGCAAAAAAAGTTGCCTTCATTATGAAATCTACGTCGTCATGAAGGTTGAACAAATGACTAAACACACAGAGTATGGTGTGGTGAATAATAGACTCTTCATTTTCATTACTTCACATTTTCTTCTTATGCTTTGGGATTGATTTTGGCATTTTATTTGCATTCTATTGGTAACAACATTAGTATCGTTTTCCAGTATTTTTTTTTGCAATTTGCGGCATATATTTAATCATTTTGCAGCTGCTTTTTACGATTTACAGTATATGGTCAATTTTTGTTGTTGTTGTTTTAACGGACGAAAATTCATGCGCGCGTGGATGTCATCCATATCAGCATATCAACATGGCCTTAAGGCTTGACTGAAAGTACCTCATGTCCCCCTGTGCAGTCCCGGGGTTCAGACCGGATGCCGCCACTCCTGTGACCCAAACCCCTGTCTGTACGGCGGCACGTGTGTGGACAACTGGGAAGAGTACACATGCGCATGCGCAGACCCTACGGCACAGAGCGGACAACACTGCGAAAACAGTAGGTGGAAACCGGTGTCTACGGTAGACCTGTTTTCAAAATAAAAGTAATTATGTTTACCGAGGGAAAACATGTTGTTTTTGCTCAGTTTCTTCCTCTTCTTCTCCAAACAGTGACCCCTGACCTGCTAATTTGTTGACGTCTGTCACCATGGCAATAGGTGTTGGGTTACATAATGTTGCAATTTCATAGTAGGCATGTAGACTCTTCTTCTTCTTCTTCCGTTAATGTCCGGCTGCCGTCACTCCGGCAATTACTGACATGTTTAACGGGTCAAAGGTCACCATATGCTAGTAGTATGTGATTTAGGCAAGGTTTGACACCTTCGAAACGAAGGTCGCCAGGGATGGAGACTGTACAATGTCTTCAGGCAGGGAGTTCCAGTCTCTGATCGTTCGAGGGAGGAAGGAGTAGAAGCGGTAGTTCGTGCGGCAGGACAGCTGCTGGTACTGCTGACTGTGTCCTCTGCGGCGTCTCGTGTTACTGGCAGGTAGGGGGTTCAGTGAGTCACAACTCACACAGGCAAGACCATGCTGCATTTTGTACAACATGGCTAGCCTGCTGTTACGGCGTCGAGCCTGGAGGGACAACCACTGGAGCTGGTCTATCATTGCAGAGACACTGGATGTGTTTCTGTAACGGTGTAGTACAAAGCGTGCAGCTCTGCGCTGGATCTTCTCAATTTTGAGGATATCCTGGTTGGTGTGAGGGTCCCAGACGCAGCTGGCGTACTCCACGATCGGTCTGACCAGGGCTTTGTACGCCAGCTCTTTGGTCTTGCTAGATCCCACTCTCAGATTTCTTCTCAGAAAGCCTAGCATCTTGTTGGCTTTAGAGCATGTATTCTCAATGTGTTTGCTAAAGGAGAGATCTGTCTGTAAAGTAATTCCAAGATACTTTGCAGAGGGCACGCGCTCTAGGGTGTGGTTATGCAGCATGTAACTGGTGTTGGCAGTGGGTGGGTTTCTGGCTCGTGTCAAGGGCAGTTGTTGGCACTTATCTGGATGGAAGGCCATGTCCCACTCTCTTTCCCAGTCTTCTAGCTTGTTGAGGTCTGCTTGTAACTCTAACGAGTCCTTGGAACAGGTGAGCAGACGGTAAACGGCAGTGTCGTCTGCAAATAGACGGGAGGTAGAGGAGATTCTCTTCGGCAGGTCGTTAATGTAAGTAATGAAAAGGCACGGTCCCAACACCGTGCCCTGTGGGACGCCGGATCTCACATTCACAGAGCTTGACTGGACACCATTTACTACTACAGCCTGCTTGCGGTCACTGAGAAAACT